ATTATGCTCATCAGGTGACAGGAACTCCTTGTTTCGGGCATGCTGCGCTGGAGGAGTGTCTTCGAAGAACCCATACCACGAAGACGATGTGGACGAGCACCTCGGCATGGTCATCTTCAGGGACTACTACGGCAGGCTCCTCACCTTCCCACAGATCAAGGTCTCCATCATGTTTTTCTAGGGCCAGATTGATCGATGCAGGACTGGAGCCGAGTGAATTTAGGAAGACGTCAAACCCAGAGATGATGTGGAAAATTCTTGGGAGAAAACAGTTGTAATTCTCTAATCGTCGACCCGCGCTGAAGGGATCTGAAACTGGATTCTGTGTCACCCGTGAAAATTTGGAGCCTTGGATTGGTTCCTGCTACCCCACACCGACAACTTTGCCGCGCTTGAGAGGTGTAATACGAATTCAGTTCTGACTGTAGCGCCTTGGGGGTTCGTTTCCGCGGGGGATCGGTGGTATGGAGTGAGGGAGTTCGCGGCTTCCCACTGACTCATTGCGTGTCTTAATTGTAGGCACCGGCCTTTTTCCTTTTTAGTGGGCCGTCTTTCCTGAAAGGAAAAAGACCACATATGTTCCCGTTCTATCTGTCCGTGTGTCACACTTTGGTTGTCCGACGGATAACTAAAAAAATATTGGCCTGATCAATGCGAAAATTGGCAAGCTGTTAGTATAACAAGATACAGGCTGGATTCGTTTTGTGGCGAATTCGCACCAAAATTGGGATTATATTGCAAATTTTGGATTTTAAATTTCGCCCCGGAGGGTAAGGCATGAGTACCCACGAGGCCTTCAGGTTCTGGACCACTATGCGCATGGACACACGACCCAGGCTTTGGGCGCGACGCCGTGTCAGCAAACAGAGTTGTCAGTTCCATCCCAACCTTCGTGGCGGATGGATCCAACCACGAACAGCCCTCCATCCTCCCATCATCGTTTCATGGGCACCGATTGTCTATGTTTACCAAATATAAATGAGAAATGAGGTTTTTGATGGTCGAAGACCGGAAAGAGATGGCAGATGGAAAGAGATGGTTCATGTACGTGACAAAAGCAGGGTTTTCTTAACTGGAAGGAGGCTCATTACTGGACTGGGCTTGCCCAGCTTATTTCTTAACAAGGGTTAACAAGGGCTTTCCAGGTACATGAAATTCACCTCGTTAAGGCTCAGTCGCTGTAGTTTTGGGATGCGCGGTACACTGAGTGTTTCAGAGAAGTAAGGGAATCCACTCTTTTTATGTCCAAGGGAAAGAGGGTTTCCAGCTCCTGTCAATCACGTGAATGAGGTACTTTTCGCCTCATTCCCGCTTCTCTTAGTTCTTTTCTCAGAAGTTGAACATATTTCTGTAAATAACGAGGGTGGGCTTCGTGCATTTCCCCCTTCATATCAAACAGACTGGAAGGTAAGATTGGTGACGTTGTGCTGCAGGTGCTGGTGCTGATCGGTTACCTGGGATACTTAGCCGTGGCCATATACGGTGTGACGCAACTTCGGGAGGGAGCCGTCGGCGAGGACAAGCTCACCATCGACATATCCACGACCGGAAAATACTGGCAGCTCAACGACAGGTACTTCCGCAAGTTTTCCTTCGGCGTCGACGTGATGATCACCGAGACGCTGGACTATTCCCGGAACGAGACCCAGTGGAAGGTGGAGGAACTCCTCAAGAAGATGGAGTCCCTGCCGCACATCGCGGAGTCTTCATACACGAACAACTGGCTTCGCAATTTTCTCTCTTTCATTTACACGACGGGGGAGTTCGTGGACTATGACATCTCCGACGAGGAAAAATTCATCAACACTCTCAAAGATGTGAGCTCTAGACCCTTGATAAGGAGGCATATGCTAATGAACAGAAAACAAATCGAAATCGAAGGCACGTCCTAGAAGGTTCATTCATCGAGCTATTATTGAACGTTCGAACAATTAAAAAAACATTATTCTTAGAAATTAATTCCTGAAATTTCTTTTTAAAAATACCAAGTCCTAATTTCTGCGTATTCACCAAACTGCCTAGTTAACAGTGTCATCGTGTGCTCAAAAGATGGCTCTGCCATCGGGGGTGGATGGCGAGTACATGGGTTCCTCACATAATCAATGCTACAATGCTCTTTCTTTTGCTTAATTCTAGTACAAGAATTAATTTCAAATTACATCAAATTTGGACCCCTTTGAAGACAGCACACAACACAGGACACATCTCGCTTAAGACTATGGATAATTGCTTCGGAAATTTGTTCCCTAATGGGTCGAGTGGCATCTTGTTTCGTGCACAGACGTTCCTGTTGGATGGGACATATGGGAACGAAGTGATCTTCAACAAGGCCGGGACAAAGATCATCGCGACCAAGTACCACCTCCGGACCAAGGACATGCAATCGGTGAAGGAGGAGTTGATGGTGATGCTGGACCTCCGGGCCATCGCGGATGCATCCGGTCTCAACGTGACGGTCCACTCCGGTCCCTTCAAGTTCTTCGACCAGGTCTCGTTGCGTCCTTTGTTGTTGGGAAGGTCAGAGAGAGAATAACGGGATGCGGTTTGTGGAATTTGGTAAGGAGTAAGGAATAGGATGAATGATTTTCACTCTTGGTTGGAAGAAAGGGAGATCAATACAATTGTTGAAGGCTGTCTCTATCTGCGGGATGTGGTAGGAATACCTGTACAATAAGTTCTCGTCGGCTTCCAGAAAAATTACCGGAGAAGTGAAATTCTGCTCTTGGTCTCAGAGAATAGGCGCCTCCTGCAAGAAGACAAACTAGGAAATATCCCCATTCCTTCCATGAGAATGAGTTGTTGGATAATAGTTATCCGACTATTCGTGCAACCGAAATATAGTCACAAGATTCAGTGCCTTCATGCTCATGAATTGAATTGTTCATGAAAAACCTAGGGACCGATCAGGCTTGCTACAAAATTCGCAAAAATTCTGACGTTGGGTTGCAGTTGGTGATGGTGTGGCCAATGACGGTGACGGCGGTGACGGCCGCAACGGTGTCCATGCTCATCGTCTCATTCCTCCTCATCCCGGACACGATCTGCGCCATCTGGGTGGGTCTGTCGATCGCCTCCATCGAAGCGGGGGTCGTTGGCTTCATGGCCCTCGCCGGCCTGGAACTGGACAACGTCACCGCCATCAACATCATCATGAGCATAGGATTCTCGGTGGACTTCTCGGCACACATCACGTACGCGTACGTGTCCAGCCGGGGACTTCCGCCGAACGAACGATTGCGAGAGAGCCTGCACAAGCTTGGAGTGCCTATCCTGCAAAGCAGTCTGTCCACCATCGTGAGCCTGATCCCGCTCACCTTCATTCCCTCCTTCATCCTCATGGCATTCTTCACCCTCAACTTCCTTGTGATGTCCCTCGGGACGATCCACGGAATCCTGATCCTTCCAGTCCTCCTATCCGTCGTCGGACCTGGTGCCTGTTCGAAGAAGAAGCAGGAGGATGCGGACGAGGAGAAAGTGAGTTATCCGGGGAAAGATCACGAGTTGTCGTGGAAGGATTGCGAAGTCGTGGTCAGGAAGGCCGGGATCATGGTGCATCGACGGTGTAAGTCTTTGGATGCCTCTGTTCTCAGCGGAGGCGTGGCGAAAAACGGGTTCATCAACGAGGCTTTCGTGAAAGAATCTCCCAAATGTTCCCATTTGTAATTCCTCTCATTGGGTTTTTCTCCTCGCTTTCGTCGTCTCTTGTCTTTGATATCACGTATTGTGATGAATCGTCTCCCCTCGAGTCTACACGATCGTTGTAACTTTTTTTTTTTGGGTGGGAAGCACGAAAGTCTTCTCTTGGGGACTATTTCTCCGGCGATGCAGTCAATCTTTGTCACCAAAGCTGTAAATCGGAAGTGAATGAATGCAGTAATTGTTATTTTCCAACTGAAAATCTCGATGGTTTTATTGAAGACGTGGAATGTTCATTTTGATCATATACGAGGGTATACATGACGGACGCGAAACTGTCATTCGTTTCGGATCGGATATCAGCAACAAAATTGTCGTTTTCTCCTCAGGAATAACCAGTACCCTTGCAGCTTCTGTCCCTAAAAAAAAATTGAGAAAAAATTGCAGAAATGTGTTTGTTCTTGTGTTCGATTTATTGGGAAAAATGCTTTATTATTCAAATTTCTTTATATAGAGTTTTAGATCTCCATTGATACGTTCAATTCGTTATTAATATTTTCATCGCTTTTTTTCCTGGAGGTTATTTTCTTCAGGTCAGTCCTGGATCGATTCGAGACGCAAGAGAGTGGCTAATCTCAGCATGCTTAATTACGAAACAATTATAAATTAAGAGAAAAGTAACATGAAGCAACATAACAATACACTACTTTGCATGGTACCAATTCGAGTAAGGTGAAAGGAAGCATACTCTGAACGTTTTGGTTTCGAATCTGGGAACCCTCGAAAAGCACTCAGGCAATATTTTTTAAAACCCTTTCAGACCCAGCGTCCATTCCAATGGACATTGCTTTATCATTGTGTCTATGGAAATTTCTTGGGATTCTCGTGACTCTGTGGCCCATACTACACAAAAGTGTGTGTAATTATGCATGGCTCAATTCCATCGAAGGCCTTCTCCCACCTGTCAGTTTAGTAATCTTCAATTATGTACTTAATGTATAATGTATAATATATGGTATGATATGGTAAATTTATACAAAATAAAAAATTGATACATGGAACATAAAGAGTTAAAGTAGAATAGCAAAAGAGCTCAAAAATGCAAAAAAGTGTAAAATACTGATAGTGGCCTTCAGGTCTGAAAGGGTTAAGATGACTGGCACTCCTTCAATGCATCATTAGGGACTCCAAACCTGGAATCTCAATTGTGGTTCTCCATTCTACGACTCGATCACAATTAATTGGCTGTACCTCCCCCTTTCTTTGATAAATTGTTTAAATATTGGGGGATGTAGCCTGGGTTGAGGAAGGAAGCATGGAATTTTCTTCTGGGGATGTACCCATATGACAGCACTGAGGAAGAGCGTGAGGAATTTCGTAAGACGAAAGTGGATGACTTCTATCGCATGGAACTCCAGAGGAGGAGCATCTCTGCTGAACAGGAGTCTTGCTGTTCTGCCCTTTGAAACTGCAAGGTCTGTTAGTTTTCTGTTTTTTTTTTTTTTTTTTTTTTTTTTTTTTTTTTTTTT